ACAATTTTTAACTTATTTTTGCTTTGTTTTTTCGCTTTATTTCCACAATTTTTTTTTCTTTTAAATGTAAGTTGACAAATCTACACTTTTCAATGGTTCAAACACTAGTTTGTATAAAACTATTCAAATTTTGGTCGAAAACCCTGCAAATTCTTTTTTTTTTTTTTTTGATTAGAAATTTGAATTATTTTTTATCATTTCCAAAACTGCCACTCCACTAAAAAATAATAATAATAATAATAATAAAGGTCTTTATTAATAAATTAAAAGTAATACAAAGATGCGGAGGCGAAGTCTAGCTTGAAGCTATTCAACTTAACTTCAAAAGAAAAATTGATTGAAAAAAAATATATAACATAAAAATAAATATTACAAACAATATAAAATTTAAATAAAAATAAATTCGCAAGTTACTTAATAACTAAAAGAAAAGAAAGAAATCATTGCCAGTCGCTCAAAAACAAAAAGAAACAAACAAGAAAAAATTCTTTAAGAAGAAATGAAGAAAAAAAAACAACAAAAACAAAAAACAAATTTTTTTTTTTAATTTTCTTATTGTCATTATTAAGTGGTAAAAATGTCATGATTTATGGCAGTTTCCGTTGAACTTGAGAGAAAGGAAAAAATATCATCGTAATGTTGCTGCACGCTAAACTTGGATGTTTGGTCGATGAGGACGGTGGCCTTTCGAGCAGTGCTGCCACCTGTGTGACGACTTGCCAATAAAACTATTAAATTCCCCAGTATTCATTAGAATAATTGCCTTACTGTTTGTTCACTGTTGCCAGGTGTTGTGAAATTTCACCAGATTTGGGAATTTTCGTGTTAGTCTGGTGATTTGGTGAAAACTTTTGTCAAAATTCTAATACATATTTTTTTGGCTTATTTTTGAGAAAATTTAGGAAAATAATTGATTTTCTGACTGAAAAAGCTGCAAAATGCTAAGAATATCAAATATATTTTCAATTAAATTTTGTTTTTTCGGCTTATTTTTGYCTAAATTTTGTTCAAAAATCAATTAAATCAAGTGAAACAAACATCAGTTTTGATTTATTTTTAAGACTTGTTTTAAGAAAATCTTGCAAAATAAAAAAATATAAACAAAACAAAAAAGACATTTTTAAAGTAATTTGTCGATTTCTTGTCTTATTTTAGGGAAAATTTGTAGAAATAATTGATTTTGTGAGTGCAATACGTGCAAAATGCTTGAAAAAATGTGTTTCAAAGTTTGAAATATTTCCATAACAATATTTCGACCAAATTTTGTGTCTTTTCGGTAATTGTTCGTCATTCATTAAGAAAATATTGTAAAATAAATGAGTCTCTGCCTCAAAAAAGAACTAAATCGAACGAAACAAATTAAAATAATCTCAATTTCGATGTAATTTGGTAATTTTTCAGCCGAAAATGTGCTTAAACACTCGAAAAAGACAAAAGTAACAACATTTTTTGCCTACTTTGGTAAGTTTTTTGTCTTGTTTTTAACAAAATTTTGCAAAATAAGTGCGCCCTGTAAAAACAAAACAAATAGGACCATTTTTTAATTAATTCGGTACTTTTTATTTTTTGAACAAAAAATCGAGTTTTTTCTCACAATTGTACGAAGAAGCGAAAAAACATAATGTAAATAATGTTTTTTAAGCATCACAAATTTTGAGAACAAAGCACCAAATTAGGTCAAAAATGGTGTTACACATTTCCCTTTGAAGGACATTTTTAATCCGAAACTAATTTTTTTTCGCTAAAATATTCCAAAAAATCGCCCTATTAGGTTTTAAATAATGTTATTTTTGCCTTTTCCAATGTAAAAACTGATACTTTTTCACATTTCTTTAAAATTTCATTGCATTTTCAGATTCCCCAAGTTATTCTATGAAAGTTATTATTAACCTTCCCTAAACCTAAGTGTTTTTGAATTTTTAGAGTTTCTTTGGAAATTTTTGGATTTGAACCTCCTTCTTCAAAAATCCATAACTTTGACATTTTTAACTATTTTGAAATCGTATTTAAGCATTTGAAAGAGAAAGATTTGGTCATTCCTTTAGTGGATTCATGATTGAACACTGGAGGAAAAAATGTTTTTATTGGGTTGGTAACTTAATTTTGCAATTTTTTATTTTGTCAAAATATTTTAAATTCAGTTACAACTTTTAGAATTTTTTTTGTAATTTTGCAATTTTTTAATTACTTTGTTTGATCAAAATAAATATTTCAAATTGAGTGACTTTCATAATGCAAAAAACATTGTAAATCGACCAAAATGAGCAAAAATGACGCGTTTCAGACTTAGTTCTGCAATTTTGCACATAGGTATTTTGATTTCAGTCAATTATTCAGTGAAATTCAGTTAAATTCATAGAAATAAACGGAAGTAATGTATTTCTAGGTCCAATTTTGTAATTTTGACAAAATATTTCAATTTTAGTGAGCTTTTCAGTGGAAATAAGCGAAAATGAAGCATTTCAGACTTGCTTTATTACGTATTTTCTCTAATAATGTGAAAAACGTTCTACATACACAAAAAACACAAAATAACACCTTTTCAGATCTACTTTTACAATTTTTTACCTTGTTTTGTCAAATTATTCCAGATTTAGTGATTTTCTTAGTGAAAAACACTCTAAATCCAAAAAAAACGCATTTCAGACTTAGTTTTTTACTTTGTTTTTTCAAATTATTACGGATTTAGTGAGTTTATCAATTGAAATAAGAAAAACTAAATTAATTAAAAAATTTGTGGAATTTAGTGATATTCTCATAAAAAGCCAGAATAATTTTCCAATTTTTTATCTTTTTTTTTTTCGATACCGATAACTTTGCCATGTTTAAATATTATGAAATCGTGTTTGGGCATTTGATCCTTCTTTTGGTGAATTCATAATCAAAATATTTAGCCAACTCTCAAAATTTAACGTTGCCTTTGGGGAAATTTAAATACCCCTAACTCAATTTTTTCAAATAAAAAGCCCCAATTTTTTTTTCACTAAATCGAGGAGAATTAAATTCTGCTTCGATCTGTACTAACCTTCCCTATACCTAAGTTTGATAATTTTCAAGTTATAACAACTTTTTTGAAATTGCCATGAAAATAATTAGTTATTATTTGTAAAAAAAAACAGAAAATAAACAATTAGAAAATTTAACTCTTTAAAGGCGTTAAAAAAACAAAAATGCACAAATCTGGCAAGATAAATAAAAAATTCAACAAAAAAAAATAACACAATTTCATCGCCACTTTCCTGAAGTCAAAATAAATGGTCAAGTTTAGTTTTTCCGAAACAGTCCGTAAAAATCGACTTTTCTAGACTTATGATTGAAATTTTCTCCTGAAAAATGTTAAAATTTAACTTTTTCTGGGTCCATAACTAAGAAATGATATTAATTATGAGGCGACGTCGAAAAATATTAAGAACCGATATGTAAATCCACTTTTTCGGTTTAACAACAGAAAGCAGAATTTATGAAGCATGCAAGAAAATGATTGAATGGCAAACCGCTAAGTATGCAATTATGCAAATTTTCCACAATATATTATACATCAAAATAAAGCGATCGTTTCGATAAATTAAACGATTATATTCATAATATAATATTTATGAGTCGGTAAATAACAATTTCGAAGTACCTGAGTTTCTCCGAATTTTGTTAAACAAATAACCAGACATGCAGGTAGAGGAAGAGCCCCTCATAAAGAAAAAATCTCCAAGAAATCATAAAATGTGAAAGTTG